GCCTTTTCCCTCCCAACCCCTACGCATGGTCAGGGATCAACAAAACAAGCAGATACAACGCAGGCATCATGTCATATCCCCAAGGCCAAATCCAAGTCACTATCTGCTACAATAGTTCCCTATAACTTGTGACTAATAACACCGTGCAACTTGCAGTGGCATCGTCTGTACACAGATCCCCAAACTAGCCGCAAGCAAACTGCTTGTGAAATTCCCTGCAAAGCGCTTAAGAGAGACATTTGTATGTCACAGGCAACGACTGTAACAAACGCAAGGATTATTGTTGCTCTCGATTCTCAAAGGTGGCCTCTCATGCACCATATGGCGCTCAGCACACAGCGAGGACTCTTATGGCACACGTACTGTTAACACGAGGACTCCAGACAGCAGTCACCAGGCTCCATCCCCCGCCAGACAGCCGTCTCAAAGCACAACAGTCCAACAGCCACACGCTGCGTCCCACTGACAAACAGGACTCGCTGTCACAGCAAAAGCACCGCTGAGCTGAGCTGAGGGGGGGAGGAATTTACAGCTGAAGCTAAAAAGCACTCGGGAGACAGTGACCAGCTCTCAGCTTAGATGCAAGTGCTCCTGAAGGCAATCTCACAGAGATATAACTCCCACTCAATCAATGCGCCTCTCGTTCTTATGTATTAAAAAAACCCGCAATTGCTTCCCCCCACCCCCACCCCCCCCACCAAGCCGGCCCACCCACCCCTGATGGCCCCCATCACCTGGTGAGTGCTTTCAGCTAAAGGAACCCCAGGAGCCAAAGCTTTGTTCCTGTCAGAACAATTCAACACCGGAGACCTGGATATTTTTCCGCCGCTGCTTCTGCATTGCTGATATCCTGTCTGGGGGGGTTTGGGGGGTGTGTGGGGGTGGGGATGGGGGGGGTGTGGGGATGGGGGGGCTGGGGGGGTGGGGATGGGGGGGGGCTGGGGGGGTATGATCTGAGGCTGGTGATCGCCTGGCCCGCTACCAGTTAGTAAGTCTACCTGCAGGTAAGCCAACTCCAGGCCAACAGCTCTTTCTGGAATGTTCTACATGGGCACAAACAAGAGGCGTCCGTCCTTTCGGTTCCCAAACCACTGCAGTTTTCAGTCTCCCCCCTCCCCCCCTCCCCCCTCTCCCCTCTCCCCCCTCTCAAACTGTTGTTGCTGTAGCTCATTACAAGTTCACTCTTCCCCTCCTCCCTCCCTCTCTCCCTCCTTCTCTCCCCTCCACCGCACACTGTCCAGGAATAGGAGTTGGACAGGGATGTGCCTTTGGAAGTACATCAGAAAGTTCAAAGCGAAATTAAATTAGGAGCCTTCACAACCCCCCATCCCCCCCCCCACCCCATACACACACCCCCCCCCCCCACACACACACACCCCCACACACTGGTAGTAAATGTTAGGCTTTTTTTTACAAAAAAAGGCAAAGTAAACAGCAGTGCGGGAGGGGTTGGGGCTGAGAGACGGGGGTTTAGGGGACGCGAATGAAGCGAAATTGCTGTAATCCATTGCGAGTCTGACTTGGCTTCCAGTTGATCAGGAGAGGAGAGGGCTGGGGGGAGGGGGGGGGGGGTCACTCGGGAAAACCGGGATAGGGAATCCACAGCATCCCGGCCACAGGCTCAGGCTGGGAGACCTCACAGTGTGAGACCCCTGAGTACCCCCCACCCCAGCAGGTGACCGGGAGGGGGGACGAGTGGTCAATCAGCCACAGGGGCCAACACTCGGGATATTTGGGAAAAAGGCTGGTCAGCAAGTCCTGGAAACAACACAGCCGGACAACAGGACTGGGAGCAGCGTCTGGGATCACAGTCTGGGATCTGGGATCACAGTCTGGGATTCAGGGGATCTGGGATCAGAGGGTCAGGGATCTGGGATAAGGGGAGGGGGGGGTCTGGGATAAGGGGAGGGGGGATCTGGGATAAGGGGAGGGGGGGTCTGGGATAAGGGGAGGGGGGGATCTGGGATAAGGGGAGGGGGGATCTGGGATAAGGGAGGGGGGGATCTGGGATAAGGGGAGGGGGGGATCTGGGATAAGGGGAGGGGGGGATCTGGGATAAGGGGAGGGGGGGATCTGGGATGAGGGGAGGGGGGGATCTGGGATAAGGGGAGGGGGGGATCTGGGATAAGGGGAGGGGGGATCTGGGATGAGGGGAGGGGGGGATCTGGGATCAGAATCTGGGGAGAGTGAGTGAGTGAGTGAGTGAGTGAGTGGGATTTGGGATCAGAGTGTGTAGGATTTGGGGTCGGGGGGAGGTGCTGGGATCACAGGGTATGGGATCCGGGATCAGAATTGGAGATCCAGGATCAGAGGGTTTGGGATTTGGGAAGCTGGATCAGTTGTGTGAGATTTGGGATGGGGGGGGGGGGAGCGTTGGGGATCGGGATCAGGAGGGATCCGGGATCAGATGGTGTGGGATCTGGGATCAGGAGCCGCTGGGAAGAGCGGGATGGGGTGGGGGGGAGAGAGAGAGAGAGGGAGAGGGGGTGAGGTGAGGGGGTGTCCGTGTTTACCTTCCCGGAGTGAGCGGAGCCGAGCGATCCCGGAGCCGGTGCCGGAGCTGCTCCCGGTGCCGGTGCCGGTGGCGGTCGCGCTGCCGCCGACGACGACGACGACGAGAGGAGCCGAAGAGCCGCGCCCGCGCCCGCACCATAGCTCTCAGGCCGCGGCTGCCATCTTGTCCTCGTCACCCCCCCCCCGCCCCCCGCGCCCGGGTCAGCATCGCCCGCGAGGCCGAGACACAGACACCGCGAGAGGGAGAGAGGGAGGGGGGGGGAAGGCCTCCAGCCTCGGCCTCGCTCCCGCCCGCTCGGCCGCTCCTCCGGGAGCCGCGCCTCAGCCACAGGCTCCGCGGCGCCGCCGCCGCTCCGGACCCGTCAGCATCGTCCGGTCAGGAGAGAGGCAGAGGCTCACTGAGGGGGTGAGGGGGACACTGAAGGGGGTGAGGGGGGGACACTGAGGGGGTGAGGGGGGGACACTGAGGGGGTGAGGGGGGGACACTGAGGGGGTGCGGGGGGGGACACTGAGGGGGTGAGGGGGGGACACTGAGGGGGTGCGGGGGGGGACACTGAGGGGGTGCGGGGGGGACACTGAGGGGGTGCGGGGGGGACACTGAGGGGGTGCGGGGGGGGACACTGAGGGGGTGAGGGGGGACACTGAGGGGGTGGGGGGGACACTGAGGGGGTGCGGGGGGGACACTGAGGGGGTGAGGGGGGACACTGAGGGGGTGAGGGGGGCACTGAGGGGATTGTGTGAGAGACACAGAGCCGCCGCCCAGTCAGTCAGTCAGTGACACACACACACACACACACACACGGGCCCCGGCGGCTCCTCACCCACAGCGCCGTCTGGGGGACACACTCCCCCACACACACACACACACACTCCCCCCCACACACACACACACACTCCCCCCCACACACACCCCCACACACACACACTCCCCACACACACACTCCCCACACACACACACACTCCCCTCACACACACACACACACTCCCCTCACACACACACACACACTCCCCTCACACCACCACACACTCCCCTCACACACACACACACTCCCCTCACACACACACACTCCCCTCACACACACACTCCCCCCACACACACACACACTCCCCCCACACACACACACACACTCCCCCCACACACACACACTCCCCACACACACTCCCCCCACACACACACTCCCCACACACACACTCCCCACCACACACACACACACACTCCCCCCCACACACACTCCCCGACACACACCCCCCCACCCCCCTCACACACTCTCTGACACCCTCACCCACACACTCCCTGACACACTCACTCACTGACACTCACTCACTGAGACACTCACTCACTGACACTCACTGACTCACTCACTCCTGCTCACTCACTCACACTCACTGACACACTCACTGACTCACTCACTCCTGCTCACTCACTCACACTCACTGACACACTCACTGACTCACTCACTGGCACTCACTCACTGACACTCACTCACTCACTGACACACTCACTCACTGACACTCACTGACTCACTCACTCCTGCTCACTCACTCACACTCACTGACACACTCACTGACTCACTCACTCACTGACACACTCACTGACACACTCACTCACTGGCACACTCACTGATGGGGGGGCAGAGGTGGCCGTTTGCCCGGTCGAAGAGGAAGGTGTTCAGGCGGGACTTGAAAAAGGGGGAGAGAGGCGGCAAAGTGGAGGGATTGAGGGAGCGTTCCAGAGGTTCGGAGCGTAGTGGCTGAAGAGTTTCTGGGCGCAGTGGCTAAATCCTCCACTGGGATGAATTTTAACATTAAAATAATATGCACTTTTTTAAAATTTCTATTTTATGGTATAAATTGCGGCAACAGAAACTTCTCAGTCGGGGATCAAAGTGCCTTCTACCACAGGTGTCAGCCACAGGCGGCTGAGTTGGGAGCACTCTCGCCTCTGGGTCGGAAAGAAGATGGTGGGTTCCAGCCCCATATCGGGGTTTTGCAACACAAAAGTGTTGGTGAATTTTGATGAGTGTTGGGAGTGGGCGAACTCCCTCCCGTTCTTTGAAATAGTCCCAGGAGATCAAAGGAGGGAGTCCTACCAACTGGGTCAGGCAGACTCCATTGCCAAGCTGAATCCCGTGTGTTTTTGCTCGTGCACTCCAGATGCAAACGCAGATCAAATGCTCCATTGTTTTACATTTTCCACTGTCACGAAACTACCCCAACGTCGCGTGCCGTTCATCTATCGATTTGACTCACGTCAAACAGCCCGCGGTTCACGACGATGGCGGTACATAGTTACTATCAATAATCAACCCAACCATCACGACCAACGCGTTCGGTGGTGACTGCGACTTTTGGGTCACACAGCCACGTTCGTTCGTGGTTTAATTGCTCATGAGTTACTCTTAGCCCTTTGAAGAAGTAAAGACCTCCTTTATGTCGTCAAAGGCAAATATGTCACGAAAAGAAAAGCATCTAACGAACTCACATACCTTCATATGTGGCCTTGTGTCCTGCCGCCTGTCAAATCTACACCTTCATACAAATTAAACCAATTTCCTGTAGAATTATGTCCTCAAAACGTTCCCAGTTAGCGGGATGGTAACGCTTGTCTGGTTTCCAGTGCACCAACTCCAGATTGGCTTGGGTTTTCTCTCTCAGGCGTTTTCCCTCTAAATGTTAACGTTTAACAAGAAGGAAATATAAGGTCCCATTCGGGACAAGGTTTAGAGTTTCATGGGCTTTCTCCACCCCCCGGTAAAGTTCTTTTTTCCCATCAGCTTCTCTGTTAACAAACTTTTGTGTCCAAAAAACATGTGTCACTCTAGAATACCTCTGGCTATTTGACACCTGTTCCTCTTCTGTGAGGAACTGGAAGTTCACATTTCATGGAATCCATTGAGAGGATGTCCAAAGAGGCTTCATTTCCCCCTTTGTTAAAGGAACACTGTCTTCACATAAAAAACCTTCAGTGGGAACTTGCATTTTATGCTGTGTTTCCAGACAAATGACGCACTGCAGGAACACAATGTGAGTATGTGTGTGGGTGTGCGTGTTCTATTTACGTGTTATGCGTGTGTGTGTGTGTGTGTGTGAGCGTGTGCTTCACCCACAAGAAATATACAGTCAATTCACTTTACAGTATATTCTGTGAAGCACTTTGAGATGTCTCGGAAGACATGATAAGGCACTATTATCAAATGCAAGGATTATTTTTATGATAAGGTTAATTTGTGCGTTTAAAAATCAGTTATTTATAACCAAGTTACTGGAAGAATGCGTGACTTTGATTCTTTCTCCATCTGAATTCCATCTGACCTTGTTACTTACTCTCAGGTCTTTCCTGTGATCTGCTGTACCATGCAGTGGTAGACTGGATGTCATCAATGCTACTCTCTCTCTCTGTGGAGTCAATAGGGACGCACGCTTGACAGAAGAATGGTCAAGTCTCCAAGATGAGGTGTTACTGTACAGAGCCTCTTTCCAAACAAACCTGCTGGGAAATGATAAGACACAGGCATTCCTGTGTCAGGTGGTTCCAATTCACCTCGACAACCATCAGAGGTGGCACCGAGCAGAACCATTTGCTGTGTTGTTTCTCTTCGCCCTCCATCCTTCCTTGACGTGTCTGTTTCGAGTTCTAATGGGGGAGGTGCAGGAACCAGCCATTTGCAGGGGAAAGATTCTGTCCCGTACTTTGCTTTCCTGTTCTGCTTTTGATCCAGTTATTCCTGTCATGTTTCAAATCGCCCACCATCACCAACCCGCATCCATGGGGACCAAATTATTCACCGTCAAAATCCGCGAACCGAAGATGTTAAGTTTTTTTTTTGCAGTTTGGAACATTTTGATCAGCTGTTCAGATACCAAACCGACCTTCCTATTGCCTCTCATTTGCTTAAAGAACCATTTAAATGATCAGAAATAAGACTGTCCATTTAAGGATCCCATGACAGCTGCACACTTTGAAATTAATTTACAATTAAAGATTGTAATGATCACCACAACAAATTAATGCTAAACTAGCAGTCAGCTAAGCATCGATGAATAATACAACATACACTACTGATGAATAAGGTGGGCTTCTGTCTCTCTGTGATAGATAAAAGCATGTACTTCAACTTAATGGAGTTCTGAAATATTTGCATCATGAAAATTTGTTTCCACAATACAAAGGGATTACTCGAGTTGAAAGCAGATTTGATGAAAATGATTATGAAACAGTCCAGAAAGTATTCGTACAGTGGATTCTTTGCTCTAGGTCAAGTATAATCAATACATACATGGGTCGGGTGTTTGGGTCTTACAATTTCAAGAACGTTTTGGAAGGGTTTGCGATAACTTTACAGAAACCAATTCCAGATTAGACATTGACCCAGCCGACCATGTTATAACAAGGTTTCCCTGTATTCAAGTTCCGATCCGGCTTTAAGGATTCTTGGTAAATCGGTTACGAGTTGATTAGGATTGAACTGCTTTGTACCACATCCAATAATAATAGATTAGAACTTCCTCCCTTTGTCTGCCTCCCCGAATAATAGTCTTTTGTTAACTTTTTATTGCTCATTGGAAAAAGCACAGTCGAAGAGGTTTGATCTTTTGTACATTGGTAGATTGAGAAAAAAAACTGAGCAGCAAGATAAGTCAAAACATGGCAACAGTTCTGTTTGCAATCACCACATATAATTGTTTATTTATTATAAGGAGGTGAAGAATGCAGCATGTGATGTGTTAATTCTCACCTGTAATATTCACATCACACACTGCAACCCCCCACCCCACCACCCTCTTTGGGTGGTTTAATAGTTTTACTGATAGAGCACCAGATTCTCAGCCAAAGGCTCACTGATCAAAAAATGCCAGTCTTGACTCCTGATCAAACTCACTTGCCTTCGTTGGGTGAGCTTTTTGTGGTTCTTAGCCAAGTGCTAAGACTGAGGAAGAGACTGCACAGTAAGAGATCTTAACAACTCGAGGTGTAGTCAGTAGGGAAGTTTATAAGAATATCAATAAGGCTTGTTGTAATCATTGACAGAGTGCCAGGCTCCTATGCACTTTACTAAGCAAAGCCCTGAAGGTGCAAATAAATAACGCTTGCATTTGATATACCACCTTCCACATCGGGAGAACACCTCAAAACACTTTTTGCAGCATTTTGTAGGTGAACGCAGCAGCCAATTTGTGCACAGTAATGTCCCACAAACAGCCATGAAACTAATGATCAATATTAGCTGGGGGAAATGTTGGTCAGGACATCGGGAGAAACTCCGTTGCCCTTTTTGAGTCGTGCCATGAGGCTTTAACGTCCACCTGAACAGGCACAGACGGCACCTTGGGTTTAACGGCTCATCTGTAGGACATGGGCACCGCCAACATTGCAGTGTACTCCCAGCACTGCAAACGTGTGTCAGCCTAAACTTATGTGACTTCAAACCTGGGATTTTGAGTTTGAATCCACAACCTTCTGACTCGGAGGCGAAAATCCTACCAACTGAGCCTGACTAACGCATAAATCAATGAATAAGAGATGTTACAAGATCTCTCAGCAAAGCGACATCGATGCTGACTCTTGAAAGGCATCATTCTTCACTAAGCGCCTTGGATTACTTTTGAAAATAGCTAGAAGGTTTCAACTCGAGCTGCCACAAACACATGTTCACAGCTTCAAGTGGGAGTCGCTGCGGGAGATGAGAAAGTTCAGGATCAACTTACTCGTGTAAGTGAAGCAGAACAGAAGCAGGAATGAAGCATCACTGAACCACCATTGTGTGATAACTTACTCAGCACCAGATAACAGTCAGGGCCAAATACAGTGTTGCATTGATTTACAAACCCGTTATTTGTCAAGGAGGAATGAGGCCATGTTGATAGGAGCATTCTTCGGGCCACGTTCCAAGTTAGCTCAAGTTTTCTCCCCTCCTCCTCCTCCTCCTACTCCTCTCCTGACGGAGCTCAGTCAACCACCACCACCACCACTTCGCTCCCAAGTTGCTATTCAATATGTGAAGCGATACGGTGAGTATCAGTCAGCGATATGACTGACCAGCGCAACATCAGCACCGAATACTTCGACTGACGAACTGGAAAGAACTGAAAGAACTGGAAAAGTACTTTGTCACTGAAAACAATAGAAACTTATTAGGATAAGAGTTGGCCTTGTGGTCAATAGGCTGGAGGGCATGACAATGGGACAATGGGACAAATCATCTCTTCTGACAGAAAAATCTATAATACAATTTACATTGATATAGCACCTTTCGTATTGGGAGGATGTCTTGAAGAGCTGTGTGTATATACAGTAATATATATCATACACAGACCTGCACACACATATATATAATAACTGCAGTGAGAAAATGTGTGCAGGAAACTATCCCTTTTGTTAAAATAAGTTTGAAAACTCATCTTGAAATTTTATGTACTTTACAGAACGACAATAAAAGAGACTCAAAGCATCAAGTCCTATAACTCTCGGTCATATGACGAGAAAACTTTGTATTTTAAAAAAAAGGATGCTTAAAGCAAGTGTGACAATGACATTGAATCTACGAAATATAGGTGTGTGTGTGTGTGAGAGAGAGAAAATATGAGGTGTCTCAGTTAAACTACTTTCAGCGCCTTCCTCCCGACGTGAAAGGCACTCTATAAATGTAATTTTGTTGTTGTACATTCCACAGGCCATTCATGAAGTCTTATGGAGTATTTCATTATGTATCCCGCTGGAAAAAAATACAAATGAAATCCATTTGCGCTGTAAATACGTGGTGATTTCTGCTTTTCCACTACTTATTGTGCAAAAGACAGCAAACTCTCAGCTCAAAACCTGCAGCAGATATTCTCTGCCTCCTCCACTTCTAATCACCTCTCGCATGTTTCCAATCTCTTGAGGCTAAATAAAGGAGTAGAAACCGAGTTAGGCACAGAGTGTTCTGACCAAAGATAAACAGGGAATGGAAGGAAGTCTGTCAGACAAAGCACGGTCCGTACATCAGACCGCTGCCAGGGCTTCGGCAATGTGGCTGTTAGAGGAGTTGCTCCAATTATGCCAACAATTGGATTCAGTTCCAACTTTCCAACAGCGTTGACTGGAAGTCAGTTTGATGTTTGCATTATTTACATTTGCATTTGCCGGCTCAGATACCGAGGAGTAACACAATACAAGCCTAATGGACTTTCTGTGTCTTCCTGAAGAACAGGACATGCTAACATAGAATCGCAGATTTACATTATTTGCCACTTCCAACCTGGGTTTAGTTGTTTTCTGATGAATAAATACAATTCTATTTCACCAGTGCTTTGGTTTGTGCTGGTAGTGAATGAACAAATTAACAATATATTGACGCTTACACATGAAGCATCCAAACTTCGAACATGATCTAACCGACCAGTCCATGCCGGTGTTTATACTTTACGAGTCTCCTCATTGACTCCTTACTCCCTCCCCATATCTTTGTAGTCCTTTCTCCCCATGTGCGTATCTAGTTTATGCGCTCCGGGACACTACCCCAAATGAATGGAGCTGTATAAATGCAAGCTGTTGTGGTACCTACCGGCTGCAAGATAGCTAGGTGATCAAAGTGCTGTGTTTTATTTGTCGAGTGTGAATGTCACTCTTGCGGATGTTCTGATACAAACCTGAAGTGAGAGCGAGAGGGAGAGAGCACCTGAAGCCAGTCACTAATTGGAGTGTGCTGGAGACAAGGTTGACTCCCTTTGCAAACAAGCTTTCAGACTGTTTTTACAGTGCAACACGCTGCAGTGAATATCTTGAGTGAAATCCAACTAAAGCTTTGCTTATATTGTGAAAACTGATCCCTTGTAGCCAGCCAGCTCTGTGTTTATTATCTAATGACACTCAGTCACATGGCATTCCCCATTTCACCAGCATCATCCATAATCACAATGCAGACTGCAATACTGACTACTAGTCAGTTTGGGTGGTGGGCAAACCACTAGCACAGCAATGTGCTAACAACGGCTAGACGCTATCTGCAGTAGAAGTTGGAGGAATATTGGCTGAATGGAACTTTTGATTTATGGAATTACCAAGCGAGCAGGCGTCAGTGACATCTGTTGCCGTCTATCTTCAGTCAGAGAATCACTTCAGACCCAGGTCCGAGCTTCCGAAACCGTTTCAATATTTCACTTGTTGCGTTCATCATTCGCTGGAAACGCAGACAGAAAGACAGAGCGTGGGGGGGGACACAAAGCTTTAGCCGTGTTGCATAATGGATGGATGGATGAGCTCGAATTCCCATTGATTTTAGTGGAGTAATAAGGAGATTAACGGAGAAATAAGCTGTAACTGCCCGAACCTGCACAACTGCAGGTTGTTAAGTAACTGAATCCACCCAGCAACTGCGGGATCCAACTGGTGTGCTCAAGCAAGACTTGTTGGATCCAACAGGTGCAGGCAGTACAGTGATATTTATCCAAGTCAGCCTTTGGCTCATGTTCCAGCATTAACCTCAGGCTTGTAAAACTTTGCAATGCAGTCAAAGATTTCCATGACATTAGTAAGATTGGCCTCAGCAGGAATCTGGACTCATTTTGCCTCGTGTTACGGATCAACCCTTGCGGATTCTTGGAAAACACTGTACAAACTCTGAACAGTTCAACGCTTTTGGACGTCCTCCCAACCTGAAAGATGCTGTACAAATGTAATTATGTTGTTGTTGTTCTGCTGCTGCACGGATTAATCAAACCGATAAATTAGTTCAGGAGGCAACCCAGTCTGGAAATGACCTCTTAAGTTTCCTTACTCCACACAGAGCCTAATAATAATCCTCCAAAAAAACAAAACAATAATAAATTGGTCATTTTCAATCCATGACTGTTTGTGGGACATTGCTGTGCGCAATTGGCTGCCGCGTTCGCCCACAAATATACAGTCAATTCACTTTACAGTGTGTTCTGTGAAGCGCTTTGGGACGTCCTCCCAACGTGAAAAGCGCTATATCAAATGCAAGGATTATTATTATTATTATTATTATTCATTACTTGCTGTATGTCGTGCAATATTGAGTCATTTCTCTATTATTTGCACATCTCTGTTGCTATGACACCAATTTTCCTTATGCAGACACAGGGAAACTCCTGAATGGGAATAGCATATGTGCAGTTCTTCACAATAATCCATCCCTGCCAGTCGGACACCAATCCTTTTAGTAGCTTTACGGCACTGTTGCTTCTGATAATATCAGTACCTTGACCTATGATGGGGGTGGGGGAATGGGGGGGGGGAGATAACATATTCCACTTGCATTCCATGTGGCACATAGGAAGCATTATATCTTGAGGACTAGCACAGCTGCCTCAAGACCAACTGGTTCACCTCTTTCTCACAGTGACAGATGACACTGTGCCTTACTAGAAATGGAGAACATTTCAAGAAAGTAAGGTAGCAAATGCTTTATTTAGCAAACTAAACTTCTCCGTGTAATGCTGTTTATCGGAGATTTTTCTCAGAATTTCGCAGGGAAGAGAACCTTGTGATAAACAGGGTGGTTACATATTACAATAATAATAATAATAATCCTTACATTTGATATAGTGCCTTATCATGTCATTGAGACGTCTCAAAGCGCTTTGCAGAATATACTGTGATGTGGAGTGACTGTGTATTATGTGGTTACCATCTCATCCGAAATACAGAGCCTCCAAAGAAAGGACGCCGAAGCTTTCTCACCGACATGGATTTTGATATTACGATCAGTGGACTGGAGCCCGTGGGGGTTTCTCTTTCCCCATCACAACAAACTGATGCCTCACAGAGGAGCCTGTAACATCAATCAACAGATACCGTCCTACATCACTAAACTGGAGTACAGAAATACGGACGGCTGTAACCGGAGACTAATATTTCATTATCATTCTCTGTAATGGGCTGACTCTCAAGCCCAATGTCAGTGTGACCCCATTGTAATAAAACTTGCAGACAGTAACGAAGCATGGGGAATATAATTCATGGGGTCCCGCCTAGAGGTCAGATCACAATGTTTTCTGCTTTTGTGCATTTAGATATTTATTGGTGCATCGCACTCTGCTGTACGTCTGGCTTTCAGGGAGGTAGATTGCTTGAATAGTCCAGCATTATAGCATCTTCAACCCTCATTAGCCTTGAACTGTTCTCCAAAGGCATTGAAGTCTGTGTCAGGAAATGGGAGATGCTGATCCTGAACTTGGTGGAAACCGCTCTCTTTAGCAACCGGTCACCATGTATTGTACCAACGTCAGACAAAGGATTTTTTTTCTTCTGATGTGAAAAGGGGTCGTGGTTCCTCACCTGAGGCACCATTCGGGCCAATGTTATTACTCTAAACAAAAATTGAAGTATTGCAGCCATCCCGTTTACAAACTGAGCAAAATGTCTGCACGAAAACTTTACCAGGGACTAATGTGCCTTTAAGGAAGTTAGGTGAGAAGCAGTCCCAGATCCTCTTACTATCTGTGACTGTATTCCTATCGTCCCTATAGCAGCTGCAAACCTAATACCACCTCCCACACCCCCCCACAGCACCACCCCTCCCATCTATTTGCGGCTCACAGCAGCGCTTTTGCAAGATGCTGATTTTAAAACCTTTTGAAATCAAGAGCTCCCAAAATATTTTGGAACCAAGGAGGTCAGTTAACGGCTAAACATGAGGAGTACACATCGGAGTGTGGTGGGAGGGGGAGAGTCAATCTGTGCCTCTCAAGAAAGAACCAAATAGATATCTGTCTCTCTCCTCCGCTCCCCCTTCCTCTCCCCCCGACCCCACTGGAACGTGTGGAGTCCTGTAGCTCAGTGGTTAGAGCACTCACTTTGCAAGTGAGAGACCTGAGTTCAATTCCAGACAGAGGGCGAAACCTTGGGCAAGTTTCCTTACTCCACACAGAGCCTAATAATAATCCTCCAAAACCAAACAATAATAAATTGGTCATCTTCAATCCACGACTGTGGGACATTGCTGTGCGCAATTGGCTGCCGCGTTCGCCCACAAATATACAGTCAATTCACTTTACAGTGTGTTCTGTGAAGCGCTTTGGGACGTCCTCCCGACATGAAAAGCGCTATATCAAATGCAAGGATTATTATTATTATTATTATTTTTATAGCAATAACTTATGTTTGGATTTACGTTACCTTTCTCGTCAGCAGAATGTCTAAACGTATTGCGTAGAAATTCTTTCGGGATGTTTTAAGTCGCTGCCTTTCAACCTCCCTCAACTTCTGACGACTGGATTCAGAATAAAAACCATTAAAAGCCTTCCACCGCTTGCCAGCATTCCTGAGCCGTGAGCTCTTCATTTCTAATACGCACCTCAGGCATCTGGCCACTGTGTGTTGCCTGTGGTACTCTGGTGGGGTGAGGAATCTTACTTCAAGCGCTCCGAGACGCAGTCTGGCCCGAAGGGCGCTCTCTAAAGGCAAGTTGTCGTCGCTGTTCTTACTACCCTGCCCAGTAGATACCAAAACACTGGCCCAGGCTGCCTTCAATCCCAATCCCACAGTTCCTAGTGAAATGAGAGAAGAGCAAATTATGAGTCTCTCTCACAATTACTAGTGGAAGAAATCCTCAAACGAATGCTGGTTCTGTTCTCTACAGCTGTAGGCTGCCATCTGGTGGAGCGCGGTATTGGGGGGTTGGCTGAATCCATGCCAACCGCATTCTGCTTCGTGCCTCGCAACCAACGAGTCAACAGTCGGGTCTAATTCCGTTTCAAATACTGTAGAGTCACAGCCTGTCCTCCTGCAGCCCAGGAGACAGTGCTGAGGGTTATTGGGTGTCAGTGTTGGATGGAATATCAGCCCCCATGGGATCTGGTCGAAACAACAACAACAACAACATTTATACATTTATAGCTTGCATTTCTAAAGGGCTCCTCTCGCAGGGCAGGGTCCCAGAGTCCCACAAGCAGCAGCTGCAGAAATCAACTCAACTCCAAGAGGACAGAGGTCCGCAGTGACAGAGGCAGCATTTGGGATTAAACTGCCGCTTACAGAGGGAAGAAGAGGACCAGGGGGAAAATGCAGCTTTTCCCTTTTGCGCATGAGGTGTCTTTTTGACATTGAAAGTATTCCAATGGGAGCAAATTCCCCCTCCCCCCCCCCGGGGTCTAGATTTACTCTATTTACATAGGATTTTTGATCATCCTCAATTTGGCGAGTTCTTAAACGCAGCCTGAGTTTCGAAGCCTGATTTCCTCAGGCATCTCTTAAGACCTACAGAAGAACAAGCTTCAAAGTTAAGATTGGCATTCAACAGGTTTCCAGGTTCTGGAATCTCCAAATGAAGTGTTACACAAAATAAAGGGAATCCAGAACCGGGGAGGGGTGGGGGGGGGGGGTGATTTTCACTGCAATTGTTTGCAACAGGATAAACCTCACTAGAACTGATCAGTTTATTGTGAAGTGGAGTTCGGTGCACTGAGATTAATAATAATAATCATAATAATAATAAAAATTCGGCCAGAAAATGAGAACATTCTTTAATCTGGCAGGCAACTGGCTTCCAAATCAAGACTTGACTTTCCTGAAGTTCAGCTCTCAATGTTCAAGGCAAAAAAAAGATCTTAAAGCTGCAGCAGCAACAACAACTTGCATTTATACCGCGCCCTTCACGATGGGGTAGCGTCCCAGAGCGCTTCACGGTGACGGAGTCTGACAATGAGCCAAGAGGGTTTTCGGGCCACTGCTTGGGCTTTCCTTGTGTGGTGAGCAAACCATGTTGTTATTTCTGAATATTTTTGTTCTTTTTGAAAATAAAAATGATTGATCCCCCTGTAACGTTGTCTAGATTCCCTCAGCCATGCCTGGGTTACATCACAGTGGCTGGCTCGCTCTTCTCGTGTGCGTGCATTGAAACTCAGCCAATTCTTGAATGTCACCTTGGAGCAGTGAAGGAGATGTTGGCTGTTAGCGAAGACGGCTGGCTTTAGTGAGATATAGATGCCTGTACTTGTTCCTGCTTTTAACTCACTGAGAAGCTCTTCCTTTTGTAGAGTTGAGACATTTCACACTTGGTTTGAGACTAACCGTCTCCACTTGTGTTTGAAATACAGTCACTCCACTTTACCGTATCGACTTTGAAACGCTTTGAGACGTCCTCCTGATGCGAAAGGCACTATATCAAACGTTAGGATTATTAGTATTATTATTATTATTTTCCTCCTCTGGTTGTGGAGTCCTGTAGCTCAGTGGTTAGAGCACTCGCTTTGCAAGTGAGAGACCTGAGTTCAATTCCAGGCAGAGGGCGAAACCTTGGGCAAGTTTCCTTACTCCACACGCCTAATAATAATCCCTCCAAAACCAAAAACAATAATAAATTGGTCATTTTCAATCTACGACTGTTTGTGGGACATTACTGTGCGCAATTGGCTGCCGCGTTCGCCCACAAATATACAGTCAATTCACTTTACAGTGTGTTCTGTGAAGCGCTTTGGGACGTCCTCCCGACGTGAAAAGCGCTATATCAAATGCAAGGATTATTATTATTATTTTAATAGCTTGAGATCAATTTGGAAAATAAAAGTCCCTTCCCTCTATTGGACCTCACCCTTCCAGAATACACACCCTACCTACGTACCTACCTGCCGACCGATCTACCTACCAACTGACCACTGACCGTTCATTCGTCGCAGCATCCAGCTGTTCTTACGAGTCCAGGTTCTGTCTTCAACCACCTTTCCTGGTAACCTGTTCAATTGTTATTCCCTTTGATATCTTGCCTGAGTAACTATGATTGACGTGTGATTGTATCCACAGCTCCAGTAGGGGGCACAGTACAGTAATAAGGGAGCTCCAGCCTTGGCCAACACAGGGTGACCAGGAAAGTCCTTATGTCATTACCACGTCTAAGAAGTCTTAATGAAATGATGATTTTTTTTTAGATAATAGGGTAAATATCATCACTTTTTGGCGGACCCCTCTCCATTATTATAATAAGAGAATAATAAAAATAACAATAATCTTTGCACGTGCGAGTGCTCTAACCACTGAGCTACAGGACTGCACAAAGGGTTTCAAGGGGAATAAGACAAACAGACAGTTCACAGACCAGTCCCCAGTGAAGCTGAGACCACAGTAGGAGTACAGAGCATCACCAACTCAGACATTTTATTCCATGTGCCATAAGGACGAGACAATGAGCAGTGAAATGTAATAGTTATGTCCTTGTCCTCTGTGGGCTATTGTCATGGAAACAGAGGGTGGAATTGACATGGAATGGGGAACCCAGGCCACATCTGGCTTGAGCGTGTTTTTTTTAAAATGTTGTAGCCGGGTGAAAAATGGTAAATACTCATTTTCCTGACACAGCCATTCATCATTTTAATGAGCCCACAAACACTACCTCTCTCGCTCTCGCTCTTGCCCTCTCTCGCTCTCGCTCTCGCCTTCGCTGGCTCTCGTTCGCTCACACGTGTCACAAACAGGTGTGGGGTTCACTGTCTGAGTTGAAGGTCAGGGCAGAACACAGAGCTGTGTTCTAACACCTTGTACATGGTTTACAGGTGGCAAAGGAAAGGAGCTGGTCGTGACATCACCTCGCCTGGTGACAGAAGTAAAATGGCTACAGCGCAATGGTTTTGTGCATCTCCAAACAGCCTGACACCTTCCTGGCTGCTGTTAAGGCCTCTCACTTCGACCGTGTTTCCGGCCACCTTCCCCCCCGCCCCACCCCACCACGCACCTCCCTCAGCTCAAGCTTCCGGTCAGCTGTAATGCGTTTTGAGCCACGCTCCCAACACAAAAAAAATTATATCTCAGATAATATTTCACCCACCAAATACGTTACTGTCAGTTCACTTTACAGTTTATCCTGTGAAGCGCTTTGAGACGTTGTCTCAACAGCGCGGAGAAGGCTATCCATCCCACTCTCCTCCTTCTCGCTAACCAATTATCTTCCTTCACTGAGAGATAATCCTATTAGTCCCCACAACGCGTAGAACATGATATGCACAT